TAGTAGTAGTAGTAGTAGTAGTAGTACATAACCCCAGAATTCTGTAATACTCGTTCTAGCTTCAGGTTCCTGTCCAAATATGCTGTTCTTTGGAAATACAATCTCTGCAGGCGAAAGTGAAAGCTTTTATTTTATGTCACCGGTTCCTAAAAACAAACTCCTGCAGTTTTAGCATGCTTTGGTGAGCCATATAACCTATCTTTACTCAAGCGCCTAAGCTGGACTACCCTGAGGTCGAGTGCACGTAAGGCCGCCACTTCCCTCCCCCCCAAAAAAAAACAGTGATCACGTGATTCTTGGTTCTCAGGTGTTGTGTGCATGTCACTGTGGAAGGCCATGTACGCTTATCCGTAAACAAAATTCGTCAAATGTTTACTACAGAACATGAGGTTTAGATCACGAGACGCGGTGAATCATTGGTACAAACATATACAGGGAAATTATCCTGCATGCAGTTTTTGTTACATATCGAAAACAACATCTCGCGCTGTGACTGCATTCCAGCAAACCTGCCTTAGGAACAGCTAACGGGTAGAGGTAAATCGACACCCTTTCCTGCACAGACGCAATGCCAGATTCAGGTACTGCATAATAGGCAATACCGATATATAAGTAAAGAAGAGGAAAAGGGGAAGAGGAAGAGGGCCCTTCGATTGACGAAAGAATGGCTTCGTTCACCTGAGCTTTTGAACTCTTACTGGAGACCAGCTTCAGAGGTTAGAGCTGCAACAAATTACAAGCAAGAGTTGTAGGGGGCAGGGACCGATCAAACACTAATTACGCCGGTCCGGAAGTGAAAATATCCCCCCGAAGTTTCACCAAAAACGTCCTCAATTCACCATGTATAATTAGACACACGAACGACACAACACGAGGAAATCAAATACAAAGCATAATGGCGAACGCTGAAGTTGACAACACGAAGACGAACTGTCTTTGAACGGGTCGCCCAAATTTGGCAAAACTGACTTCCTTCAAAACGGCATGTGCTTAATAATCTCATCATTATAGGTCGAATAAACAAACGGGGGGGGGAGGGTAAAAATCGGTGTATACTGGGCGCAATAGGCCAAATGACGCCTACATAAGAAGTTAAGGGTTCCTTATCAACAACACCGTAATTTACTAGAGCATAACTAACTATTTATTACTCGGAAGGAAGTTCGAGCACGAACAACTCGTACCTTGCGCTAACTGGAGGCAGCCTATATACGGCGGTCAAAACCAGATCTATGTAAACAGTTGGAGCATGTGGTTGACCTAGCTTTGCCCTGGTAAAATCCGGCTCCCAGATTTACACAGTCCCCTTCCCAACTTTTTTTTTTTGTCTTAGACGTTTTTCCCCACCTTTTGCTGCCCACAGTATTTTAACTTTCTTACGTTATTGATTAGCCTCTTGGCTATTTCCTATGACCTTGCTATTTGTATCGATTTTTCTGTATAAATTCAATTTTATATTTTCTCTTCCGTCATTCATGTAATGCAATGAGAGGTAGCAGCTGATGAGCACTCCTGGAATTTACGGGTCCAATAAATCCTGCTGTTCTTGCAATCTACAAATTTGCACCTGGGAAACTTTGCCTTAAATATTATTTAGTTGACGCATTAGTTCATTATTTATTACGATTAAAAGTAAATTAAATAAGTGAAAACCTGCTTTTGACAGCCTTGAGGTCTTATAAAACACACACCAGCTTTTCCAACTACCAAGTAAATGTCTCGATTCTGCACAAATTCTCCAAAACCCTTTTAATGGTTATCCGCGTCATTCTACCTCGAGAGCTTTTATGTTCTAAAGCAATTTAAGCGCGATTAGCATTAAGATGTTAAAAACCTGCAGCAACAGTGGTCTCACTTTTCGTGCCGGCGCAAAACATAATTAGGTCTCAAAAACCCAGGATTTGGAAGGCTGCCAAGTGGTGGCTCCATCTGCATAAGAGTTTCTCAGGTTAAACTGATAGCAATTGCGTGAACTGCGAAAGAGAGTGTAAATAAAGTTGCGAAAATTCTCTTCTCAGAATTCAGAAGAGCGGTTGACGAGCCTACGTAAGCTTCCAATAAATTCCCACCGGGCCAGTACATTTATGTGGGAACAGGGTACAAGTTAAAGCATGCTTGTCTTTTCGT